CAAAAAATGTCATATGACAGTCAACTCATTTAAAAATGATTGATCCTGATTCCAGATAGCAAGAATTGAATGTTGATGCATTTGAGCTCCTTGGTCATAAAACTAGACTCAAAGATTACCTTTTTTTAGTATTGTTTCAGGTAGTGCTTAAAACAGTAATGCAACAAGCCTTTCTTTGATGTGTATTATTATCTGTGAATATTCTGTCACTTAGTGAAGTTGGAGAGAGATTGTGGCAATCCATTTCCAAATTCCAAAGACTGTAAGAACTTAAAAGCTCATGATTCTTACTGAAGAACAAAACAAAGCAAAATCGCAATAAAAATATCCTTCTTGTAGTCTCGGAGGTCAAGAATACTGTACATGAACTGCAATTCACTGTTAATATTGCAAGTAAAATTAGCTGTGGGAAAAGAACTCCAGGAGAAAATTGTGAGTGATAAATCCAAGGAGGATTTGACACATTTTTCATCATTATACCTTTGTTCTTCAGATCAAATTGCTACTCTTGGTTTTTAAAGATGATTGGGGAAGAAACACATTTTTAAAAGTACCAGGACGCGAGAGAATTGCCATTATTAGGCCTAATTTGTCATTCAAGAACTTTGACAGCTAAAAACTGAGAAATAATGACCATTTTTCCGTCAATGACAAAAGTGTCTTCAGAGTATCATCCAGTCATTCTTGAAGTAATATAAAGCCACTCCTCATTACTGTTATTTTAAAACAACAATGGTGGGATGACTCTAAAAGTCACTAGCAGGAAAATGACTAATGTCAATGACATGGTATTGAGTTTCTGTAAAACTTTGTTTGGATGCCTGTGAATAGATATTGCAATTTCCTAAGATGCAGAAATAATATCATCATCAATTATGTTTTGTTTGTCATTGCCTTCTCAGCAGTGTCTGGTTAAATTACTACACACTTGAGCAACTGCTAGCTAGTTAGCTAGAAGTACTTCTGTTTAGAATGCATTGCAAACTCTGTGGCATTGGAGAAATATTGGACTGGGATTAGGGCTAAGCCACAGTTCTTAAAACTTTTCCAGTTTTTCATTTTTTCAGTCATCATGGTACCAAGCAAAGCTTAGAGGAAAGTTTAATGAGATCAGCAGCATAACATTCTCTTTTATATCTTTCTCAGTGAAAGCTGCTCAGAAAAGCATCTTACCAAATACATGAGAAGATCATGAAAATAGAGGGTATCCAAATTGAGACTGGAGCTACTATGCAACATTTGTTTAATGGTTTTTCCTGGGCAACTAGCCTGAAACAGTTCAAAAGTTTAATGTGCTTTTCCTAGTTTCAATTGCAATATATTAGAAGTTTCGTGTTTGTCTAAGCTGACCTTACATCTCTAGTGTTACATGAAACAAACATTATCTTATCAGATTTCTACCATGCTTCCTGATTGGGAGAAGGTTGTGATCTCCCTTCAGACAATTAGAGAATGCTATTCTTGTTTGTGAATGTCCTAATGAAAGCTTAGCTTGTTGCTTTTACCATATACAGCAAAATTGCTTTTCAGATTTCCATGTTTAACACAGTAGGAAAAATAATAGCTAAAAATAATTTTTCCTTTAATAAACTTGACTAACCATGCATGGTCATTTGGTTGCAATTGAAGAAAAATTCAGAACTCAGCAGGATATTAATTTAATATTTTTCAGTTTATAAAGTGTTGCTTTATGTTTTTTAATATTCTAATTTTAATAAGTTATATAAAGGAGCACAGAACTCTACCTATCCATCAGGATAATTTTCCAAAAACTCAATTGAATTCAATACTTTATTTGGACAATGTGATTGTGTTATTAGACACACAAGGAATTTGTCTCTGGTGCACAGGTTCTCAGTGTATATGCAAAGCAACATAATAACGATAATTCATCATTATAATAATACCAATAAGAGGGGAAACTAAAGAAGTAGGATAAATAATACTACAGCCATATTACATGGATAAATACATGGACATTAGATAGCACTGTGAAAATTAGGCAAAGTGATGGTCTGAGGGGAAAAATATCCCTGTGTTTAGTTGTTTTAGCATGCAGTGCCCTACAGTGCCATCTCAAGAGGCAGGAATTGAAAGTTTATATCCAGGATGTGAGGGGCCTGCAGATATCTTCTCAGCCCTCCTTCTGCCCCAAGCAATTGATACAGGTGTTCTGTGGACGGCAGGCTGGTTGAAGAGTATGAGACGAGTTTGGTATGGCACAGGGACATGCAGTCACTAGAGGCAAGGGAGGCAGGGCCTCACCAGTCTCCTCAGGAAAAAGAAAGAATTTTAAATAATTTTTTAAAAATAATTAAAGCCAAGATAGTTGCTACCAGATTCCNTAACAGTCAGCTGAAGTGGCTGCAGTACTGCACTCTAACCACTGCGCCACCTCGGCTCTGATAACTAAGAACTGGGAGGCGAATAGGTTGCATATATAAAAAGGAAAGTCTTTTTTAACTTGAATGTGACTCCTAGGGATTTTCATGGATACACCCATGAATAATTTCCAGTTAGGTTTGCCCCACCACAATCCAAGGCAATTCCTGTATCCTTTTCAGATCAGAGCAAACACACACGCCTCTCAGTACAGCTATCAAAAATGCAGCTTGATGTTTATTTATCAAATATCAGCAAAGATCAAAGACAGTTAATGGGACAAAAGACAGGCAAAATCAGAGAGAGAGATAGAGGAGGGAGGGAGGGAGGGAGCGAGGGAGAGAGAGAGATTAAAAAACAAGGGAACTTAATAACAACAATTTATAATCTAATTTTCCAGTGCAACTGGAAACAATATTATAGATAATTAGCATGGATAATAGACTTTGGCTATTTTGTTTTCAATCTTTTATGTATCTAACAGTTGCAGAATAAAGAAGGAAAGCATGAGATCAGTTGACCCTTCTATTCTGTATCATGAAAGAAACAATTTGGTGGATGAGGTACCCAACATGGAAGTAGTTGGTCATTATCTTGTCATATTAGCCTACAATCCTGGATTTCCTACATACAATCCTCTATCCATAGACTAACCAGAGCCAACCTTCTTAGCTTTCTGGATTAGCCAAGGTTGTATAGACGTTCCATCTGCTGAGACTGGTAGGTTCATGTGTAAAGGGGAATAGGATATATAAAGGATACACAAACACACAAACACACACACACACACGTAAAATGGCACTTCTGTAGATTGATCTGTGGTATTAATATAAGTAAATGTCACCCTTGATCTTAACCAAAAGTTGAAAAATTGAAGTAGACAGATATTTTGCAGTGCTCTCACAATTTGGATGTAGATTTCCTGTTCAAAATGCATCACATCTTCCTCTTTCAAATCTCTGTTCATTTTAAAAAAGGGGGCATTTGGGAAAGAGCAGTGCTTGGCACTTCTGCCTTAGAACTAATAGTTAAATTTATACCGCTTTTCTCCATAGGGACATTGCTGAATTACAGCTGGAAGCCCAAGAGGCTTGTAAATGTGATTTGAGTCACAAAAGTATGTGAACTGCCAAACATCTGCATTCACAGGAGACGTCAAGGGAATGGCCAAACCAGTGACAAAGCAACAAAAATGTTTTCTTCTTGGGTTAAAGGCACTACATCTGTTGAGGAAACCTCTCTGCTTCCCACCAGAAATGTAGAATTATTTTTAGAAATGCCTTGCTTGAGTTCTACTTTGATCTGACCTTCTGTTTTAAAACAGCTTCTGTGCAATGATGAATACATACAACAGTTTTCTGTTTTCATTTTGTCCTCATCTTTAGAGTAATGAAGAGATGCAATCAGGGGTGGGCTTCAAAAATTTTAGTAAGGGATTCTGTCTGGTTGCTGGTGGGTGTGGCCATGGTGGGCATGGCCTAGTCAGCCTCCTGCACCACAGTGGGGAGGGGGGCATTTTTTGCTCTCCCCGGGCTCTGGAGGCTTTGTTTGAGCCTCCAGAAGGGTGAAAACAACCTCCCCAGACTCTGGAGGCCCTCCGGAGGCCATAAACAGGCCTTTTTCCAGCCTTCCCAAGCCTCCGGTAGGTCCGTTTTTTGCCCTCCCCGAGCCTCCGCATGCGCCTTACACTACCTGCATCCAAAATGGGCTGCATGGGGACTCCTGGGAGGGATGGGGCCAGATGGGCAGGGCCAGCCAGGATTGGGATTTTGGGGTTCGCTGAACTACACAGAATCTTAGCTAGAGGTTCTCCCAAACCCTTGCGAACCCCCCAGCAGCCCAACCCTGGATACAGTGAACAAATTGCTTTGATATTGGGATTGGGGAGGCAGGAAAGGACTCTTTGGTTTCCATGAGCAATTCTGGGGACTATGGAAAACAACTAAAAGGAGCAGGAGAAGTGTTTTTATTGGGGCTTCATCAAAGTGCTTTTTTGTGCCATGCTTGCACCAAGCTCACATTTCCACTGAAATAAAGCAATGAGAGCCAGCCAAATGTTCGATTGGAGCACTTTGTTCTCTATCTTCATCAATTTCAACTCTACCTTACCAGAAGTGGTTTTGTGGAGGTGTTTGAAAAAGTAGGTTTCACTGAAACAACGAAACCCTTCATATAATTCACACAACACATTTTACCTATGAAGTTCCAGTAATAGAAGCTTGTAGGCTTAATTTTCTGGGAAATATGAACAGAAGAATATGGTCAATTTCCACACTAAACTTGGCTCCTGGTGAGTCATGAACAAATCCAGCTTTTTCTAGGGAACAACATGGACTTGTTTTGGCACTGCTTTCTTCTGTGATTCCCCACCTCCCACCCTGAATCTTGATCCAGTATAAGTATAGAGATTTTCTGGTGGTTATTCATATAGATGTGCCTCTTCTTGGCCACAATGGCAACAAAATATTTGATAAAATAGTCCTGTATTCTAATACAGTGGTCTTTTTAAAAAACTTTCTTAGGTACATGTTCATTGCTTTTCCACAAGTTACCATACTGAATCCTTCTTTCTTAGTTGTTTTTTTGTTTGTTTGTTTCATTTCAGGTTAGACCATTACTGCCTACCATTTTCTCCACATTGATGAAAACCAAAAAAGATGTAAGAGAAAAGGTCAGCTCCTTGTTAAATATATGCATGGATACTACACTTCACTTTAAATGTTGCTGAAATTTGTTGCCTCTGCTGGACAATTAAGTTAATAAGAAGAACTCTTAAAAAGATCGAAGAAGAATTGCCTGTTAATTTATTTTCCAAAAACTACTTTTTTTTCTACTTGAAAGTTTTTCCTCTGAAAAATATAATTGCCACCCTGGCTAATCCTAAATCAGAATGGCTCTATGCCTTAAACAAGTTTTTAACAAAGACAAAACATTTCGCCCTCGTAAGAGATTTGAGCTGGGCACACAGCGGTTTGAGCTGTACAAGAAAGCCCAGGCTTCCCTCAAATCAGGACTAGACTTAAAGACAGTGGTCCAGTTGCCCCCAGGGGAGAACATCAATGACTGGATTGCAGTGCACCTCGTGGACTTCTTCAACAGGATAAACCTCATTTATGGGACCATATCTGAGTTTTGCACCGAGAAGAGCTGCCCCATTATGTCTGGTGGTCTGAAGTATGAATACCGATGGCAGGATGATTATCGATTCAAGAGACCTACCAAGCTTTCAGCACCCCATTACATGTGCATGCTGATGGACTGGATTGAGACACTAATTAATAATGAAAACATATTTCCTACTAGAATAGGTAAGTAAACTTTGATTGCTCCCTAGGAAGTTGATTCTTCCAGATCAAACTGTCAGGGTTCCAAGTAACACCTCTAACAAAAGAAGACTCTGAGGCTTGAGCTTCCTCAAAGTTCCATTTTATTAGAGATGTCATATTGGCACATCTGGTAAAACCCAAAGTTTCCATGTTTTCCTCACCCAAATGAAAGTCCCTGCCCAGCACCCACAAGTCCATCACATGGTCCAGTCAGGCACTGTCCCAACTGGAGATGCCTCCCAATCACACCACTCCAGGTGCAGGGCAAGCTGTCCTTGACTCTCTGAGAAAGGAATGTTAATTAGACTATATATCTCCCATACGCCATATAATCCCTCCCTCCCATTTTCCCACAGGAGAAAGTGTGGCAGGCCTGAAGATCCAAAGTAAAAGATGTCTTCCAGGCCTGACACAAAACTCTTTCTCCTTGTAGCATACAGCATTGTTTATTTTGGCTTCAGTGGTTCTCCAAGTTCTTTTAACAATACTTTGAAGTGAGTATCCCTTTTACTCACTAGAGGGGCAAAACTGGAAAAGAACTTGGCATCAATTTCTGGGAGAGGTGCGGAGTTCATTTCCCCATGCCAGTCCTTCCATAAAGCATGACCATTCATCAACAATGCCAAAACTGACTGACTCAATCACAGATCTTCACTTTTTGGTACTTCATTTGTCTTGCTTCCTATTTAATTTCCTTGTTAAAATGGGCAGCCAATCACTGTCAGGGAATACTTTGGAGGATCATTCCAACGGGTTTTGATTTCTAGCAATGTGCACTCTGCGCCCCACTCCCGGAGGACACATTAACACAAGCCTCATGCCTCTCATAATTGTCAGAAGATTCACTACTGGATGGCCCAGGTACCACAGAAGATGAATGTTGGTAATGCTGTCAGGTGCCTTAATCGGCTGTCCTTCACTAAAGAAACAGAAGTACTTAAAACACTGAACTAGGTGACAGGTAATATCTTCTCCCAAAGTCCTTTCATGAGTACCTCAGAGAAAGTTATTCTAGGGGGGTTGTGACCCTCCGCCTTTGACTCCACCATCACCCCAGGAGAAACAGGAAGAGACAGACATCTCATTTTGTTGCCCTTGACTGGAAAAACCTCATAGGACGAGGCATAGAGAAAGGGAGAGAAGCAGGTTCAGTCTCTATCCTTCTCCTCCACAGAGAAGGATCCCTCTCCTAATCCTCTTGCATGGAGCAAAGAGGATTTCCTTTGCAGGTGGAAGAGGCAACTGACCAAATGGGAGAGAGACAGGCAATTCCCCCCTTAAACCAGAGCTCTTTTTATATCCAGAAAAGAGAAAATTGCCCTAGCTTAGATGGAGAAGACTGTAGCCAGTCTCTGAGTCCACCTGATTGGTTCACGGCTGCTCAAAAAAAAAAACAACCCGATTCAATTTTTTTAATGTGAATAATTAGCCACCCCTCTCACAGGAACGGATGGGATGCAGTGGCTCAGTGGCTTAGACACTGAGCTTGTTGATCAGAGAGGTTGGCAGTTTGGCGGTTTGAATCCCTAGNGGGCGGCGGCATCGGGGGCGGTGGGGCACTTTGCATCATGGGAGCCGCCAAGCGCCTTTGCTGCAGACCCGGGAACTTGGTGGCTCCCGCGATGCAAATTCACCCCCCCACCCCCGAGGCTGACCGCTGCCCCACTGAGCTGCTTCGCAAAAGGATGCCCAGCTGAGCCTCACCAGGCATAAACCTCACCGCACGTCACTGGTATGGCAGGATAAGCCAGCAAGTGTAAGACTGAGTTTGAAAACAGCCCATGTCTGTATTGAGGCTGTTGAGAAAAATACTGAATAAAAAAAATTCCTAATACATCCCTCTAGGTGAGACAGTTCTGCAGCATTTGTGACTGCTCCATTCTAAGCAGTCCATTTCTTTCAGGCAAATGACCTAGAGTTGAGCAGAGCATGTGCACGCACACACACATGCACACACACACACTTGCCAGTGTGCATATAATACAAAGATAGTACTGTACTTCTCTGCACAGAATACAGATGAATTTTATGACTAGTGCTTGTAAACAGGTGGGAAGAATTCAGAGATGGTATTCTATTTTCTTCACTACTGGTTCGGTAGTGGGAGTGCTCCCCCCGTGTGCTCGCTTTGCTCACACATGGCACGCCTAGGCATGCGTAGAACCTTCTGCACATGTGCAGAAGGTCCTTGATGACATCAGGGTGGGTGGACAGAGCCTCGTGCCGTTGCCACTATGGGTTCGCCGTGAACCGGTAGCATACCGCCTCTGGAACAATTTCAGAAGCCACCCTAGTCTGCATGCTTCCCTTACTTTGTTTCAGCTTTTAGTTGTGAGAGTAGTTAGGTAGAAAGCTGTGCAAGATGTATCTTTAATCACTGCATTAGGGTTTTAAAAAGAAGGGCAGAGGATTTTCATTAGAAGAGTTTCATTAGTAAGAAGCAATGATTTTCACTTATCTTTTTTCCTCGGTTGCCTTGATGCCAAAAAACCCCCAAGCCTCACTTACGGTAGCTTTAAGGCAAGCTAATGGGAGCTCTTCTTTTAGAGTTCTGACCAGAGGTGGTATTCTGCAGGTTCTGACTGGTTCTGGAGAATTTCTGGTAGCGGAAATTTTGAGTAGTTCGGAGAACCCGTAAATACCACCTCTGACTGGCCTAGCCATGTATTTTCTGCCTCCTAAGTCCCAGCTGATCAGGAGGAAATGGGGATTTTGCAGTATCCTTCCCCCAGGAGTGGGGAGGGAATGGAGATTTTAAAGTAGCCTTCCCCTTCCCATGCCTACCAAGCCACACCCACCAAGCCATGCCATGCCCACCAAGCCACACACACAGAACTTGTAGTAGAAAATTTTGAATCCCACCACTGGTTCTGGCAGCTGATCAGAAAGGGCAGAGGAGGAAAAGATTTTCCCTGTATTGCTTTCCTAAAGAATCCATCTCCATGCTTGCTTTTAATTAAAAACCTGAATATTCATGCTTGAATTACACTGCCAAAATTTTAAAACACTCTAGCTAAAATGCACCACCATTTCAGTTTGATACTGCATAGCAATGGTGGGATTCAAATAATTTAACAACCGGTTCTCTGCCCTAATGACCAGTTGGGTAAGTGTGGCTCGGTCGTGTGGCCGTGGCCAACTCAATGTCACTTAAGTTTGCCTTAGTTGTTACAATGTAATAAGGGTTAACCAGAGAGGCAGTTTCTGTAAGCAGGGCAATAAAGATGAGGCTAGAAACAACACCAGAATGTTTCTTCCTGCCTTTCATACAGGATTAGTCCTGTAAAGTGGGGAAAAACACAAAAAGAGATTTCTTCCAACAACTGGTTCTCCGAACTGCTTATAAAGTTAACAACTGGTTCTCCCGAATAGGTGCGAACTGGCTGAATCCCACCACTGCTGCATAGAGTTAACTTTTGAATCCCATGGTTTCTTTGTCTCTGCTTCATTGGTTACTTTATTACTGTATGACAGCCTGTATTTACAAGCAGATACTTTACTATCAAAAAACCAAAAGCTTGGTAGAACTTATAAGTACCGGTATATGGTATATGTAGCTATCCTACTTTTGTGTTTTAAAAAAAGATATTTCTCAATTACAAACCCAGGAGTTAAGATACGGTGAGGTAAAGTCTTTAGAAAACAGCACAAACCATAATTTTTATAACCAAGGCAATGCAG